GAGACACACACTGTGCACCAGACACGCAGGTACGCCGTCTCTCTCCCTCCACCTGTTCTTATGCACAGATACAGAAACCACCTGTAGGAAGTGGAGGAAGGCAGACGTTAGCGGTGACTGCTCGCATCAAAAATGATCAATCGTTTGACCTTTGACCGGAGCTCTCTTAACGTCCTCGTCATCTCGTTGTTGTTTTCTTAATGCTGAAATGCGATAAGTTATTTTAACTTGAGAAAATTGTTGAAATGGATTACATTGAAAAATGTTAGTAATATTAACTAAAGTTAGAAAACAGCTTCCACTAATAGTTTTAAGTTACGTTAACTTCAAGAAACATCTCTTTTGTTTTCACGGTGCAAATAATAAAAATGAAGTCTGTGTCACTTAAAATTACCCAAGCTACTTGATCAAGAACGTTTTAGTTTTTTTAGTTTTACTTTAAAATCTTAGATGTAATCAGTTTCAACAGTTTCTTTGCATTAAATTAACTTAATGTTATTAACATTTACTGTGTTTTATTTTGAAGAGAATCTCCACTGATTTTGGTTGGAAACGTCTGTCTCTCTTTCTCCAGCGTCCTCGCCGTGTGTGTTGTGTTTGGGCGGCGATGATGTCGGTGGTCTGTTGATGTGTTGTTGCTGTGGTGATTGTTACCACGGCAGCTGCCTGGACCCCCCTCTGGCCCCCTCCCCCCTGTGCCGGGCCGGCTGGCAGTGTCCTCGGTGTCGAGTGTGTCAGAGCTGCAGGTATTTCCATTATTGATTAATTCCTCACTAGTTTCAGTCACAGATTCATCTTCATTCAAACGTTCTGGTCAGTTTCCAGAGCGAATGTTCCTCAAGAGTTAGTAAAGTCCAACAAAGGAGAGTGAACACTGGAGATTAATCAGATGACAGAAACACATGATGAATGATCCTGTACCCCCGTAACAACTGTGTAGTGAGTCTCAACTACTTCATATACTGATAATATGTCAGTCGTGGAGGCCTTTAAAATCAGCTGCTGCAGCTTTAATGTAACCTGGTGTATTAAGCCGAGTTCACACTACGTAGTTTTAGCTCTGATTGTCCAGTTTGTACATTTTTGGAGACAAACTTCTCCAGATCAGAGTAAGATCTGCACTTGCTTCCTGTGTGGAAGATCGCTGTGTGTTTGTGTGAACGTGATCAGAGAGCTCGCCAATGCCTCGCAGATGCCAGAAAAATATCTATCAGGATAAATATCTCAACAAACTGCAGCCAATGAGAGCAGTTTCTCTGCAGCACCAGACAGGAAGCAGAGAACTGATGCTGTACTGACAGTCAGACT